GATCCTTCCTTGGAGTTGTTAACTACTATCGTCGGTTCATTAGTGGCTACTCAGCCAAGGCCGCACCATTGACTGAGTTGCTAAAGAAGAACAAGCCATGGGTTTGGACGGAGCATTGTCAAAAGGCATTTGAAGGCCTTAAGGCAGCTGTAATAGAGGAGCCAGTCTTGGCGTTACCTGACTTTGCCAAGACATTTGAGGTGCACACAGATGCCTCAGACTTCGCCATTGGGGGTGTCCTGATGCAGGATAAGCATCCCATAGCGTTTGAGAGCCGCAAGTTAAATGAGACGGAGCGGCGTTACACGGTGCAAGAGAAGGAAATGACTGCCATTGTGCATTGCCTTCGTACATGGCGACATTATCTGCTCGGGTCGAGGTTCGTGGTCAAGACCGACAATGTGGCTACTAGATACTTTCAGACGCAGAAGAAGCTCACACCAAAACAGGCTAGGTGGCAGGATTTCTTGACCGAGTTTGATTATGCGCTGGAGTATAAGCCGAGCAAAGGTAACGTTGTAGCCGATGCCTTGAGACAGAAAGTCGAGCTTGCTGCAATCACTTCAGCAAGATGGGACATTCGGGAGGCTATAAAAGAAGGCATGCAGCATGATCCAGCAGCCAAACAGCTTAGCCAACAAAGGCAAGACGAGACGGTTTCGGATAGAAGACGGCCTACTACTTACCACAGGTCGGCGGGTCTACGTGCCTAAGTTTGAAGACATTAGACGACGGATCATAAGGGAGAGTCATGACACAATGTGGGCTGGTCATCCAAGTCAACGTCGCACTAGGGCCTTGGTTGAGTCAATCTACTATTGGCCACGCATGCGAGATGACATAGAGTGCTATGTGCAGACTTGTCTTGTCTGTCAACAGGACAAGGTTGAACAGCAACAGCCCGGAGGACTTTTGGAGCCACTGCCAGTTGCAGAGCGTCCATGGGAGAGCGTCACTATGGACTTTATCACTTGTCTACCGAAGTCCGATGGTTATGGTACTATTATGGTAGTCGTGGATAGATTTTCAAAATATGCCACCTTCATGCCCGCCTCACCAGGTTGCACTGGCAAGGAAGCTGCCAAGCTATTCTTTAAGAACGTGGTGAAGTATTGGGGCTTACCAAGGCATATTATCAGTGATCGAGACCCCCGTTTTACTGGAAACTTTTGGAGAGAGTTATTCGACATACTTGGCACGGAACTGCACTTTTCCACTAGTGTCCACCCACAGACAGATAGACAAACGGAACGGGTCAATGCCTTACTAGAATGCTACTTGAGGCATTATGTAAGCGCGCATCAGAAAGATTGGGCAAGGCTTCTAGACATCGCCCAATTCTCTTATAACTTGCAGCGGAGTGAGTCCACGAGGCGGACACCATTTGAGCTAGCCACAGCCAACAGCCACAAACTCCACATTCGTTACCAGCTGCGTTCGAGGGAAAGAGTTTGGGGGCTTATCATATGGCCAAAGGATGGGAGGAGCAGCTTGACATTGCTAGTCCTACTTGGATAAGGCAGCTAAGAAGATGAAGAAGTTTGCGGACCGTAAGCGCCGTCCCACGGCCTATAGAGTTGGGGACATGGTCATGGTGAAGTTTAACCCAAGACAGTTCAAGGCACTACGGGGCATGCATCAGAATCTGATTCGCAAGTATGAGGGGCCATTTAAGATCGTCGCCAAGGTAGGCAAGATCTCATACAAGCTTGATATGCCATCGTATCTTAAGATCTACCCTGTCTTCCATGCCAGCATGCTTAAGCCATATCATGAAGATAAGGATGATCCGAGTAGGGGCCAATCAAGTCGAGCGCCTACGATTATCACCGCCTCGCATGATCGGAGATTGAGGCTATTATGGATTACCAGGCCAAGCGAAAACAAGGGCAAAAAGCCACCGCTGTGTTCCTCGTCCATTGGAAGGGGCAATCACCGGAAGAGGCCACATGGGAACGATATGAAGACTTATGGCAATTCAAAGGTAAGATCCGAGAGTTTATGCAGCAGCATTGCGCCGCGGTCGTCGCAGTATTAGGTGGGGGAGAGTGTGATGACCCGCCACGTCATCATGCCACATAGGCGCCATTTGGCATATATTAATGCCATGTGGAAGCTTACATAAGAAGAAGGCTAGCACTTGTGAGATCCTCTTCTTTTCAGCAGTTTTCCGAAGTACTACTGCCAAAATTCTATACCTCCATAAACCATTGCAAATCCCCTTGAAATGTCTAGAAAAACAACCTCACGAATTGGAATTCTTTTTTTTTTTTTAGGGGGGGGGGGGGGGGTGTAGTGAAGAAACAAAATAGAAGTGCAAAATGTAGGAACGCAGACTAACCTGTGCGCATAGCCACTCAACCAGGCCTCGCAAAACATCTTCAGCGGAGGTGAGTTTCCTCTTAGAACTGGAGGCATCTCCATTTGCATCAACGCCATTCTGAACTTTTGGCCTAGCACTGGAATTACAAAAAAGAAAGGAGAGCCATTAGGAAATAGTTTTTTAGTAAATTGTCCGAATCTTAAGTCTCTCAAGATGATTGACATCGTAAGGAAAATGACTTTACTACCTCACTATCACAGAGAGAATCTTACAGCTCTTCTCTTGTATGAACCAATTACCTTTCCAAAGCAATCTGAAAGAAAATAAACTCATCATTCAGAAACAGAAGGAATGTGAGAAAAGATAATTATCGCAAAGAAGAGACTGCGTATGGGCAAAACAAGGAATTTCAAAAGAACATACAAGTCTCACTTTTTCTATTGAGCTATCTACATGTTCATCTAGTTTTTGTATTTTTCATTTTCAACATCACCTCAGGTATATACCTGCTCCTTTAGAGCCCAATGACATATAAACCCATTGTTTACTTTCAGGAGTAAAATGATTTGGAATACCTATGCATATACAAGTAATTGAAGCACAGTTGATTTCTTGATTTTGTCAATACCACAATGTCACCTCCTAAAATTTCACGTAGTTCAGAAAGTCTTGATTACAAACATTACCACTAAAATAGATCCCACAATTAAAATCCTAAAGGACTAATGGTTAGTTTCTCCAACAATATAACTTATCAAACTTAGAACTTTGCCTTCAAATATCTGCTATTTCGAACACATGACTTGCTGCTGACTATGTATAAAATAAAAAAACTGAACGAACTACTGCTTACTGCAACTCAAAATGTGACAACAGCAATTCAGTGATATCCTAAGCTGAGCATTGAGTTGATACATGCGAAGCCATATAAATGTATTAAAAAGGAAAAAGGATAGATCGATACATGCAAATACATGGAGAAAGGGGAAGTACTACATCAGCAGTGCTATAGAGGGAGAGAAATAAATGAAGACAAGCTCGAGTGAAGTACAGATTGTTCCGACAATTATGGACCAAAAGTACACAGATGTTAAGAACATTACCTAAGGAAAGGTTCATAAGTGTCTTCATTGGCAAAAGAGTTGTCATGGAATAATTTCGCTCTTCTAGGGTTTGCTGTAAGAAAGAAGGAATATATTGGTCGATTTATCAAAAGAGATTTAAAAGAAAAACATCCCTCAGTTACCTGTAAGCATTTCATCAATTAAAGCTAAAACATATTCCACAGTTTCTTCCTTAAAGATGTCTTGTAAAATGGTAACAAACACACTGACATAAGCTGGACCATCCTGTAACAATTGCATCCAGTTTATAACGTATTAAAACTTAAGAATAATCCGGAAAGCTATAAAAGATTGACCAAGAAACCAAAACTGAAGTAACAATCGAACTAAATACAAGAAAGATGAGGCAGAAAAGTTTTAGTGAACATGGAAGTAAGATGCATGAATCAGAATTGGGCGGCAATTAAAATGCAAATTATAGCTAAGTAAAAAGACAGAAACATTACATCATCCAGCAACTGAGCTTTGTCGCTTTCAGCCTTTTTATCATAACGCCTCAACAGTTGAAGACCTGTTTCGGTGATCAGCTTCGTGGTCATATAAGTCTCCCATGGAATATCCCTTCTCAAAACCTTTAAAAAGTAAAGCACACAATATGAGCTGCACTGATATACACAGTTGATCACTACGCCCCCCTACCCCCCCCCCCCCCCCAAGGAAAAAAGACAAAAAATGCTTTCAATTCTTAGCTTTTTTATAGGAGCATGTAGTTAACAGATGGAGAAGAAAGTACATTATAAAAAAAGATGCCATATTGTTATTGTCACCAAGAAGAAAGATAATCGTGAAGGACAGTTCACATAAAATCCCAAGAATAGAGAACTTTTCTATGTCAAATAATGTACGACTACCAAAGCAACTAGTAATTAAACTTTAAAAACAACCTCGTATCTTAACCAATCACTTACTGCATGGATTTCTTTCTAGGTTCTTTTATTTACACAGACAAGCTATTATAGCGTTTGTAGAAGAAGAAAGTCAATGAAAGAAAAAGAAAGCAACTAACAGCCACAGACCTAGATCTCTT